AGGACCTTTAAATTCATTCTATTTGATTGTTTCTACACATTTCATTACCTTCCTCTCTTCACTTTGGGCCCTTGATTTGTTTTGTGTTGTCACTGGTCTCAGTAATCAGACCCCTCCATTACAGCTGTAAGAGGTCCCACAGGATCACTTCACTCCGTCGAAAAGAGTTAACCAAATCTGCCACACACACAACCTCAAATATCACATGATGAAATAGGTTTATAGACCTTTATTTAACCAGGAGATTCGGAATTTCATTTTCAGGGGACTCCTTCTGGCCCTGTACAGTTTTAGTGGTAGAGGACGCTGGAGCACACAGGGAGAACATGTAAACTCAGCGTAGAAAGGCCCCGTCCCAAACCCAGGATCTATACTCAATCTCACTACAAAACATTCCCACACACACATCACTGTTACTGGTACAAAATGCCCCTAAATGTGCTTAAGGGTCTGAAGTGTAATCCCAAAGCTGTGTTTAGGTTTGGTGTTTCCACGTCAGACCAGGACAGATCTGGGTCAGTCCTGTTCAATGATGTGTTAAAGCAGAATAAGGCTCCGAGCCAAACCCACAACAAAAGTCCAACCATTCAAATCAGATCCACGAGGTAATGTACACTATGAACACACAGGAGAGAGGAGCAGAGGGTCAGAAGAGCAGAGGGTCAGAGGAGCAGAGGGTCAGAAGAGCAGAGGGTCAGAGGAGCAGAGGAGAAGGTCAGAGGAGCAGAGGAGGGGGTTAGGGTCAGAGGAAGAGAGGGTCAGAGAACCAGAGAGAGTCAGAGGATGTAGAGAAGGGCAGAGGAGCAGAGGAGAGGGTCAGAAGAGGAGCAGAGGAGAAGGTTAGAGGAGCAGAGGAGAGGGTCAGAGAAGCAGAGGAGAGGGTCAGAGGAGCAGAGGAGAAGGTCAGAAGAACAGAGGAAAGGGTCAAAGAAGGAGCAGATGAGACGGTTAGAAGAGGAGGGGGTCAGAGGACCAGCGGAGAGGGTCAGAGGAGGAGCAGAAGACAGGGTCAGAGGAGGAGAGGATGTAGAGAAGGTCAGAGGAGCAGAGGATTGACTGGACAGACGTGTCTTGAATGATTTCTTACTTTAATAGTCACATACGTTACATTTGACACTTATCATTTACATCTCACAAACACAAATCAAACAGTAAATACATTTTATCTTAACCTTAGCACCAGCGTTGGATCAAGTACCTCCTGCTCGTCCACTGCAAAACTCCAATTTACATGAATTAAATCACTTGAATTCAGAAGATCTTGATTTCAGCTGTTTTCACGCGGGCAGCAGATGTGACATAACCGTGTAGAGGTAATTCTATTTACTCCATTACAACTGTTACCTAGCAACCACACAGTAAACAAGAGCCGCAGCTCGTCTCATTTACACCATCGTTATAATTATTTGACAAATAAAAATGAATGACAACCTTATTTCATTAAAGAGCTATTTTCTGATCTATGTTCTAATGTGGTTTCCTCATCAAAAACAGACCCGCAGTTGAGTTTTATTCACACAACACTGGAATTTCCAATCACTGCTAAACAAAAGGTACAGAAGATCATTTGTTTCATCAGAGTTTGAATTTTAAATGGCGTTAAATTTCTCACTTTGAATTTTTTAACTCTGAAAAAACATGTTTGAATTATTTTTAGTCTGAATGTCAGTTGAATAAACTTTAAGCGTATTTTCAGTTTTTTAAATTCAATATGTAAAAAAAAAATAAATACAAAATTCAAGAGTGTAAGTCAAAATTCAAAGTGTAAAATTTGCTGTGAAAAAAAATTTGCAGGAAAGATCCAAGATGCCAAGGCAGAAGCAATCGACCAAAAGTGAATCGATCTGAATGAGTAACAAGCAGGAAATGGTGCAGTGAAGCGATTTGATTGGTCAGAATCAGCCTCATTAAACACCATTAGTGTAAACTCCGCCCACAGACGAGAAGGACCAATAGGAAACAGCCTCCGTCCTCCTCACTCACACATGACCGATTGCTTCTGCTTTGGCACCTTGGATCTTTGCTACGAAATTTGAGGGCTTAAAAATATTAGAAAAAATAAAAAATAAATATAAAATATTATTATATTATTATAAAGCTGTATTTTGAATCTGAAACATATTGAAACTGTACACTTAAAATTTCAACAACTAGATTTCTAAATAAAAACAATTTAAATATATTTTTCCAGAGTGAAAATTTCAGCGATATTTAAAATTCTAAATCTGATGGAACAAGTTTTCTTCCACCATAAAGTCAAATGAGCTTCTAACTTGAAAACTACCTCTTCATGACATCACAAGGTGGAACAGAGCATTCTAAGCTTTGGAAATGTAGACAGATTAATAATGCAGAGTTACTCAAACATGTGAATGAAACAAAACCCAACTCCAGCTCTGTTTGTGAGGAGGGAACAACATTATAACACAAAAGAAATAAAAATAATAATAAAAACCTCTCATAAACGATTCTCAGCTGAAATCAAGACTAATATTCTGATTTCAAGTCTTTCAATTCATGAAAATCCTGTGTTTTTAGCAGAGAACTAAAGGCATGGCGTCAGCAGCATTCACTTACAAAGAGATTAAAAAAGAACAGTTATTATTATTTCTTATCTGTATATTTTTATAACATTTAAACAGCTTTTCTCAAGTGTGCGGAGCATTGGAGTCTATAGCGACAATGGGTTTATAAAATGTTGGCATTGCATACTGAGACGTAAATAGGAGCTAATGTCACAATACCTTTATATGTTTTCCTATGAAGCTACAGTACTTGGAGTCATTTAATACGTTTAGTAAAGTCAATATAAAAAAGACTATTTGAAATGGAATGCTCGAAATGAGGAAAAACAAAAGTACAAAAATGTCTATAAAATGCACCATTAGTTTGATTTAATTCAGTTTTTAAACCTGGATTAATCTAGGGCAAAACCTGGACTAAACCAGAACTAATCCAGGACTAAACCAGGACTAATCCAGGACTAAACCAGAACTAATCCAGGACTAATTCAGGACTAAACCAGAACTAATCCAGGACCAAACCAGGAGTAAACTAGAACTAAACCAGGAGTAAACCAAAAGTACAAAAAAACTAAAATAGAAAAAAAACTTAAAGTACAAAAATGTCTATAAAATGCACCATTATTTTCATTTAATTTACTTTTTAATCTTATTTAATAATATCTGTGAGCTTCAAGTAATACAAAATTAAGATCATTACTAATGCAGTAGCAATTAACAATTTAAAACTGATCTCTTTTTAAAATGGTAAACAGTTCTCAAAATGGCGTCCATAACAAGAAAACTGTATGTAACTGAATCCTGTGAAAACACTTAGGGTAGATTTAATTTTTAGACCCAGTAAAAGTCAGTTTAAAGATGTTTTAGCTAAAATAAATTGAAAAATGAATGGAAATCATTTGGCAAAAATCCGCCATCTTTGTTGTAAGCGTGCAAAACATCCAGAGATGCATTAGCCAGAGCTATAGAAAAAGTAAACAAGAGAACCGCGAAACAACCCCCAAAATGTCAAGTAGAGTAACAACTGCTAAATACATACAGAATGTTTTTATGTGGATGTTCACTTCAAGAATAGGATATTAAAGGGGCTGTACCCATTTTTTTCATGTAATAAAGTAAAACTTGTGTTGTCACTGTACAGATAGATTGTAAAAACAGCTTTTAGGTTGACTGCATCTAAATAGAATGTATTTATATCGGCCGCAAACCTGTTATTATTACTAGCAGGCCCGTCGACAGAAATCTGGGGGCCCAGGGCAAGAAGCCTTACATGGGCCCCCAAATTAATATAAATAAAAGAAAGAGGGTCTAAAACGTGGCCCCTTAAATCCCTGTTTCTTTTCTGGTGAAGGCTCTGTCAAACACTTCTCTCCATGGAGATAATATTACTTTGTCTGGAATGTTTCACAGTATGGCATTAAACCTTTTTATCTTCATAGAGACCAAATCAGACCAAGTTACAGGTCAGATCTGTGAAGAGGCGATCCCACTCACAGTCTGAATGTCTGTTTTTCTTGGTATTTTTGAGCGATAAAACCACATGTAAATGAATAAATGTAAAATAAATCTGTTTACAGGCTCCCACTCTTTGTCACTGACAAAATACAGCACCTACATGTGTAGAACTGATCAGACTTTTAGGGCTAAATATGAAATGCGAACTCTTTCCTCTCACCTTTTGGTTTGGGATTATAGTTTTTGAACATTCAAAATCCTGTTAGTGCATTTATTGTCGTCTCTTTTAAACAAAAGATGCAGACGTTCACAAATAATCAGAATAATCTCATGAGAACTGAACAGAACACTAGAGATAATAAAATTACATGACTTTTCCAAAATTTCATTGCATTTACAAAATTCCATAACTTTTCCAGGCCTGGAAAATGACTTTTTCAATTTCCATGACTTTTTCAGGATTTCCATGACCGTGGGAACCCAGTGTTTAACATCATAGTGTGGAACATTCCAGGCAGAACAATGACATCTCCATAAAAACAAGCAGGTGACGGACCCCCAACCGAAAAGTTACATAGTCCACCTGTAAAATGAACTTTCTGTTTTGTCTATTTTTTTTAAACGTTTTTAGTAAAAATAAAAGTACAGCGCCTTCAAAATCTCTGTTGGTTTAAGGTTAGGTTAAGTTAGAGTTGGGTGAGGTATGGCGAAACAATCCTTCTCTGTTTAAATGAGTGACGATGTAAACATGGGACTAGAAAATGTCATTCAGACTGGTCAGGTTCTTTGGCAAATCTGTTTCTAGTCATTATTAATTAGATCATTACAATTAAATCTACAATAATATGTTTGATAGTAATAAAAGTAGAACAAGTAGTGATATCTGAAACTTAGCACCAGAATCCTCATTATTTAAAACTTAAACAGACACAGAGCCAGACCAGTGTGAACAGACTAGTATAAATAAAATTAAAAAATAAAAACAGACTGATGTTGTCGTGTGTTGTCAGTAAAGTGAATAAATCAGAATTTGTTTTGCTTGAGTTTGTCGATGTGGTAACAGAGCTTCAGCGCTGGACCCAGTTTCAGACCAAGGTACTTCATGATCATGTCGCTCTTCAGCAGCAGCAGCGCGTTTCCATCGATCTCCTGCAACAAAATAAAACATAAAAACATAGAACAAAACCAGGACAGAAACCAGCACTAATCCAGGACTGATCCAGGACTAATCCAGGACTGATCCAGGACTAATCCAGGACTAAACAAGGACTAAACTAAACCAGGAGTGAATCAGGACTAAACCAGGACTAAACCAGCACCAAACCAGGCGTAAACTAAACCAGAACTAAACCTGGACTAATCCTGGACTAAACCTGGACTAAACCTGGACTAAACCTGGACTGAACCTGGAGTAAACCTGGACTGAACCAGGACTAAACCAGGACTAATCCTGGACTAAACCTGGACTAAACCTGGACTGAACCTGGACTAAACCTGGACTGAACTAGGACTAAACCAGGACTAAACCAGCACCAAACCAGGCGTAAACTAAACCAGAACTAAACCTGGACTAATCCTGGACTAATCCTGGAATAAACCTGGACTAAACCTGGAATAAACCTGGACTGAACCAGGACTAAACTAAACCAGGAGTAAATCTGGACTAAACCAGAACTAAACCAGGACCAAGCCAAGAGTAAACTAGGACTAAACCAGGAGTAAACCAGGACTAAATTAAACCAGGATGAACTTGGACTAATCCTGGACTAAACCAGGATTTAACTAAACCAGGAGTAAACTGGGAGTAAACCTGGACAACACTAGGATTTAACCAGGACTTAATCAGGAATAAATCAGGATAAAACAGAACTAGAGAAGAATGAAACTACCACTAAAAAAGGGCCAAAGCAGGACTAAGTAAGGACTAAAGCAGATGAAGTCTCACTAGAGTCCAAGTGTTCTGTTAAAGTCTAAATGTTAGTGTGAGTTACATGTTTCCTGAAGAGCTCTGCGTGGGGGCCCAGAGCCTGCGGGTCTGCGTCTCTGATGAACCACACCACATCCTCCACGCTCCAGGACGAAGGCTCCCGACTCAGGGCCCGGGGCTCCTGAGGCTCTGAGGGGCCACTGTACACACCTGAAAACACACACGCACATTAAAGAGGCACTGTGGAACTTTTCTGTGGGGAGGTCTGCCTACTGCTGTCTCCATGGAGATGTTACTGCTTTACACGCATGTCCCACAGTACTACATTAATGTGGTACTATAAAAGTATTTTGGATTAAGCAAGGCTCATTTAACTAGAACTAAACCAGGATAAAACAGAACTAGACAAGAGTTAAACCAGGACTAAACCAGGACTAAACCAGAACTAAACCAGAACTAAACCAGGACTAAACCAGGACTAAACCAGGATTAACCAGTATAAAACAGGACTAGGCAAGAAGAAGAAGTAAAAAACAAAACAAAACAGAAGTAGACAAGAAGTAAAAATCCACAGTGCATTAAAGCTGAAGAACCAACTTTTTAAAATGAAATGAGTAAAGTTTGTTCCCCTCCAGAACATGTGTTGTAAAAGCAGAACTTTGTGACAAAAATCAGACCACGACAGACCACAGCTAATTAGGCAACATGCTCTTTGTTGCAATCCTAAGAAAGAGGCGTGTGCGTCCCTGGATGAGTTTGTGAGAGATACAGGAAGTTAGACTGCAGTAAAAATCTACTTCCTCCTTTGCTGGCTTGAAAGTCAGGTACCACAGATGTAAACATACCAGCCATTTTAGAAATAACATGCTTTTTATACGAATGTGGCTTTATAAATATATAAATATAAATATATTGTTTTTGCATTTTTACTGTGAGTGGGCTCTTTCCACAGATCTGATCTGTAACTTGGCCTGGATAACCTGACCTGTGTCTCTCTCTCTCTTCTGCTCCTTCTCTCCTCTCTCTCCCTCCCTCTCTCTGTTTCTCTCTGTCGTCCTTTCACCCCCTCCCTCTCTTCTCTCTCACTCCCTCCCTCTCTTTCTCGCTCACTGTCTTCCTCTCTCCTATCTCTCTCCCACCATCCCTCCCTCCCTTTCTCTCTCTGTCTCCCTCTCCCCCCGGCCCCCTCTCGTTCACCTCTCTCCCCATCCCTCTCTATCTCTCCCACTCCCCTTTCTCCCTCTCTCCACTGTTCCCATTTCCCTTCCTCCCTCTCTCTCTACCCCTCTCCCTCCGTTCACCCTCTCTCTCTCACCGCTCCTGTTCCCGTCGCTGAAGGTGTTGGGGCTGGAGGAGGGCTGTCTGCAGGTGTTGATGGAGCTGTTGTTGAACTGCTGTGATCTGAAGCCGTAGGCGGGTTTGGGGGAGAAGGAGGAGCCAATGGAGCTGAAGGCAGAGTCCCCGGGGTCCACAGAGTATCTCTTCCCCTCTGGAGGCTCTGAGCGGTACTCCTCCTGAAGAGACGCCTCTGTGCACGAGAGGGAAAAGTACAGTTTAACAGGTGATTTCAAACAGAGGAGAGGGGCCAGTATAACTCTACGAAATACAAATATTCACTTTTGTTTAGCTGCTGCCAGAAATGTCACGTTAAACTTTATTTCATGTGGACAGGCTCAGTAATTACAGAGATATGAAGCATAAACCAGGTCAACAAATCTGTTACACAGATACAGATACACACAACTTCACCTGAACAATCTAACCTGTCCTCCAGATTTGATTTGATTTTTTTCTGTTCAATTAATTTGGAAGAAGGATGAAACTAAAGCTACAAGGTCTAAGATACACAAGATTTTTTTTTCTTTAAAAAGAAAGGAATTTCTATTTTCTAAATAGTCGTCGCGTTTGCTTTTGTACCACCTCAGATTGTGATTTTGAAATATTGTGAAGCCCTAAAAAGAATTTGATAATTCATACAGTAAAGATTGAGTAGGATGTTTGATCAAACAGATAAACTATTATAAAAAATACAGTCTGATTGATAAAGTAAACTATTATAATGTTACTGTCAGAGTATTGATTAAATAAACCATGGTACTGTCTGAGTATTGATCAAATGCACTAATAGGTTTACCGTCTGAGTATGCGGCTGGAGCGCTGTGCTGGGCGCTGTGCTGGGCGCTGTGCTGGGCGCTGTGCTGGGCGCTGTGCTGAGCAATGGGCGTGTCACTGAACAGGTTTTCACAGTGAAGACTTCGACAGAGTTTCTTGAGGAAGCGCAGCACGTAGTCAATGCTGTTGACCACAGGGAGGCTGAGCAGGTGCTGCTTCCCATCGAACGTGGCTTCAAAAGAACAACACCAACAATTAGACTTTAAACTCTGACAACAGCGGAGCCAAAGCAGGCGCTAACTGCAGAAGAGCAGTGACAATGTGAGAGGGAAAGAGGCTACAGCACTCAACCACCAACCCAGAGGTTGGAGGATCGATTCCCAATTGGACCAGGTTCTGTGGATGTGTCTTTAGGCAAGGCACTTTTCCTAGTATAAAGTGAGAGATTGGTGGTGGTGCAGATAATTGGCCTTACTTCCATCAGTCTGCCCCAGGGCAGCTGTGGTTTTAGGACCTCTTAGCTTATCACCATTGTGTGGTGGAGGTGTCTGTTTGGATCCTTGATACTCGGCCATTGTATTTGTTTTATTTTGTCAGTTGAGGACTAAAAGGCACAAAGTTGTAACTAAACTTTGTAGAATCATTGTTTTTCATCAGTTCATTTTTATTACATTTGTTTCTGCTCTTCGTGCTTGTTGTGTCCTTGGTCAGACCTGATATCTTCTCTCCTCCGTAGCCTTGTGTGAGGAGAGTAAAGACGTTCTTCTGTTGGAAGGCGCTGTCGATGCAGCCCTGTACGGCCTGCTGCAGCACCACAGAGGGCCGGTCCGGGCCAAAGTGGTCCGGGAGCAGGTGGATCTTCTTCCGGTCCAGGTTTGGTCCAGTATTGGCCTGTTTGTTGATGTAGATGCACACTAGAGACATGGAGGAGATGGATAATGAGATACCACAATAGCAACATAAAAACTGGCAATGCAATGAGATAATTTTATAACTTATATTTTCCACAGAGGGAAGCCTATTGTACATGTTTTTACTGGTAAAATGTGTCCCTCTATGTCCCCTCCCTGTCTCCCTCTCTAACCTCTGAGGATCTGTGGCGAAGCGGAGTGGGGACTGACCTGTGAGGACCTGTGGCGTGGCGGAGTGGGGCACGGTGGCGGCGTCCTGGGGGATGGAGCTCATGTCAGGTTCTGGGGTGCTGCTTGGAGGAGAAATGGCCAAAGGAGTCATCACCATTCGCGGCTTCAGCTAAAGAAACCAGGAAAAGACAGAAAGACAGCTTCATTTGGATGGACTCACGAGGATCTACAGCAAGGTCTGATGTACGAGCACACACACATAAAACATTCATGTATTTGAGCTGAATGTGTCTTGCCTCAGAGCATATATACTGTAAAAGCAGCTCTTCAAGTCAAATAAGTCTCTACTGTGTGTGGTGTTATTATTATTCTTCATTGCTGGCGTGCTAGTTGTTGTGAACATTACTGTGAAAGCAAAAGCTCAAACTGCTGAAAGTTGCAAACTGCTCTCATAAACTCATCGTAATGAATAATTACGATATAATAAGTGAGGAAAAAAGTCTGGACCAGTGCAGGTCATTTACAAAGAAGTACAGTGGAGGATATATTTAATCTGATGATTTTGTAGATTTGTCCACTGACAAAAGAAATGATCAGTCTGTCATTTTAATGTAGATTTATTTTAACATTGAGACATAAAATATCAAAAATCCAGAAAATATCTTGAAAGAAAATGTGTAAAGTGATTTGCATTTCATTGAGTGAAGTAAGTATCTGAACCCTCGAGTCAAAAAAGACTGCACTTGGTGGCAAAAACCTGCAGGATTTTACTCCACTGCAGCGTAAAGTGTTACCATTAGTTTTCTTAGTGACTGTGGTCCCAGCTCCTTGAGATCATTGACTAGCTCCTCCTGTGGAGTTCTAGGCTGATTTCTCACTGTTCTCATGATCACTGAAACCCCACGAGGTGAGATCTCGTGTGGGGGGCCCCAGACCGAGGTCGACTGATGCTCATTTTGTATTAAATTTTCCAACAAGTGCACTAGCAGTTGTCTCTTTAACACCAGCTTCAGGGTGATGGTTTTGTCGCCTGTTCCAGCCTTGAGCAGGTCCATAGTCTTGTCCCTGACGTCCTTTGACAGCTCTTTGGTCTTTCCGTTGGTGGAGAGTTTGGAGTCTGATGGACTGACTGATTCTGTGGACACGTGTCTTTTCTACAGGTGACTTGTTCAAACCGGAGTCTAATTCAGGTGATTAGGAAAGTCTAACTGGTCTGTGAGGGGCAGAACACTTAATGGTTGGCGGATCAAGTGCTTATTTCACACAATGAAATGCAAATCAACTGTAATATATTTTCTATAAAGTGATTCTCTTTTTAATATTCTATCTCTCAATGTTAAAATAAACGTAGCATTAACAGACAGACTGTTCTTTTCTTTGTCAGTGGACAAACCCACAAAAATCAGCAACTGATCAAATACTTATTTCCTCCACTGTACTTCTGTTTTTCATGTTTTTACTAAACTAAACTAGGACTTAACCTGGAACTAAAGATGGACTAGACCAGGACTAAACAAGGACCAAAACAAGACCAAACCAGATCTGTATTAAAATGGGCTCAAACCAAGACCAAACAAGTACAAATGTGAACGCACCCTAAGAAAGCAAATGAAATCAAAGTAAAATAAAAAAAAAAAGTCAAATCAAATGGCGGAATAACATGTAACTGAAGATTTGCAATACTGGTACTACGAATGAGTCTGGTGAAGATGGACAAACTTTAGAAACATAGGGGAGAAACTGTTCTGGATTACCTCCTGATGACATCATGCAGTGACAACAAATCATTTAGGCTGAAACTAAACTAAATGAGGATGTTGGCACAATGGTCTGTCTGATGTGAGAATATGATCATATTTCTACACATTAAACCAGGACTAAACAAGGACTCACCTAAGCAAATTCTTAATAATGTAATTTACTTAAACAATGTAAAGAAGAAATAATACTCAATGTCAGAAAAAGCTCTAACAGTAATTAAATAAATAAGAAGACCTGAAAGATATAGTTTATAGTTGAGTCCTAGTTTTATGTTCTTTATTTACAGCTGAGCGTTCCTGCTTCAGACACGTGGGTTTTTCAGTGTGTGCGACTGCAGCAGATGTTAAGTCTCTTTGCGTTACACTGGGGTCCCACAAAATCTGACGGGCACGGAGCCGCCAAGTCTGCATGCATTTTTAAACACAAGAGCAAGAACTGAACCAGGACTGAACCAGGACTAAAACAGGACTGAGCAAAGACTGATCCAGAACTGAACCAGGACTGAACCAGGACTGAGCAAGGACTGAACAAGGACTAAACCAGGATTAAACCAGGACACATCCCCCTCCCATCCTTTCTCTCCCTTCTCTCATCATCAACATCAGTCTTTTTAAATTCTGACCTTGAACTCCTCTTGGACACTTTGAGCATGTGAGAACCTAATCATAATTCTAAACAGGCCCAAACTGGGACAGAACCAGGACCAAACCAGGACAGAACCAGGACTAAACAAGGACTGAACCAGGACAGAACAAAGAGGGAACTAAGACTGAACCAAGACCGAACCAGAACCAAACCAGGACTGAACAAAGAAGGAACCAAGTCTGAACCAGACCTGAACTAGGACTAAACCAGATCTGAACGAGGACTATACCAGACTAAACCAGGACTAAACTCGGACTGAACCAGGACTAAACTGGGTCTAAACCAGGACTGATCTCTGAAGCTGAGCAGGGTCGGACCTGCTCAGTCCTTAGATGCGCAGTGTTGTGTCCTTAGGCAAGACACTTCATCCAGCTTGTTCACAGTGGTGTACGAGAGAGAGAGAGAGTGTGTGAGGGCAAATACAGGACAACAAACAGAAACTGGCCGATGGCAACGGACGTGGCGTGTGTTTACGGCATGTTTACCTCACATGCATTTCACTTTAAAAACAACCAATGTGAACAGAGCTACAAACACCATGCTTCACACCACACCATCTCAATCTACAGGCCAATCATATTTAACACAGATGTGAGCAGCTCAAATTAATATTGCTAAATGCAGATTTCTTATTTTTAAAGACAGAAAAACCAGCTACAGCATCTTTAACTTGCACTGTCCCCAACACATTAAAAGGCCCATAGGAGCTATTTTCTGATCAGTTCTAATGTCATTTCCTCATCACAAACAGACCTGGAGTTGTGTTTTGTTTCATTCAGACATGTTTAACACACAAACCCTGCACATTGAGGCTGAGTTATTCTCTCAGACAGAAAACACTCTATTCTACCTTGTGATGTCATGTGGTAATAGAGGAGCTGTGTTTTTAAACACCACACACTTTCAGTAAAATCATTTGGATCATTTCAGCCCTGGATTTGCCAATCTTTGCTCAACAAACAGTAAAAGGTGCTGTTCACTTGACAACTATCACTACATGACATCACAAGGTGGAACAGAACATTTGGAGCTTTTGAGATGTAGACAGACTAATAATAAAGGGTTACTCAAACATGTGTGAAAGGTTCGAAGCTCACAAGAGTAAATGTAGTGTGATGTTTAACCTCCTAGGAGCTGAGCTCTTGATTTCCACATATGATTTAAAAAACATTCATTTTATGTTTTAATCATTTTGATGGAACACAATAAAGTCACAACTGAATAATGATTTGCAACTATTTATGAAGTGCCTGAACAACCCAAAATGTGTTGGACATATATGTGCACATATGTGGACGCCAGGCCCATGGAGGTTACAAACACGGAAGAGCAATTCAAGGAAAAGTGTGGTCTAATGTAAATGACAGATTTAATACATAAAAGGACTCAAGCAAGAATTTAACAAACTCCAACACCAGGTTCATTTTGGATGAGAAAACATTATAACATGGACAGATGCAGCAAACTGTCCACTTAGCATTTCCAGCCCCAGCAGATTTCCTCTCTCCCTCACCTCAGCACTCACCTTGAACCCAGGCTTGCGTCCCCTCTTCTTGGGCACTTTGATGGGGGGCAGGGAGTCGGGGTAGCGGTTGGCGAAGTCCATTTTGACCAGGTTCCGGAGGAGGGGGGGCCTTCCTCTCTTTCGGCCCGGGATCTTGCCGGTCTGAGCGGGCATGAACGAGGAGGGGGCTACGGCAGACTGCATATCACTACTGTCCTTCTGAGCCGAGGCCGGGACACTCATCTGGAGCTGGAGACAAAAGAAAGGTTCAAACTCTGACAGAAGTGATGTCACGATATTAAAATCTCAAACTCAAGTTCAATACTAAGAAATAGACTCGATACTCAGTACTGAGTCTGATACCACAATGACTGACCCAGGACTAAAACAGGACTAAAACAGGACTGAACCAAGACTAAACCGAGACTAAAACTGGACTGAGCAAGAACTGAACCAGGACTGAATCAGGACTGAACCAGGACTAAAACAACTGAACGAAGCCTGAAACAAGATTAAACCAGAACTAAAAGAGGACTGAACCAGGACTAAACCAGGACTAAAAGAGGACTAAAACAACTAAAACAATAAAGATTCAAACTATGAGACTAGTGTTGTCATGATATAAAGATTTCAAACTCGATTTTGATACTAAGTAATAGACTTGATGCTCAATACTGATTCTTGACAAAAATTAATATAATTTTTTTTTTTGTCACCATATCGATAACATTTGAAGTTCAAGTCAAGAACAAATGTGAATGGACCATAAATTTACCACAAAATGCAAATTATATCCTTGTTTGGAAGGAACGGAGTCGCCTCAACACGTCAGACCTGTAACTCCAAACTTGGCCTGGTGCCTTCATCTGCTTGTCTCCATGGTAACAGCTGAGTGTAATGCCTGGCCGCGGAACATTCAAGGCAAAGCAATAACATCACCATGCAGACAAGCAGGTAGAAAAGTTACTTCACCTTTCAGTTATTACTAAAACATGTAAATCTTTGTCTGTTTTAATGTATTCACAGTTTAACATCAAATTAGACAGAACATTTTGCAGTAACAGGTAGAAAACTCCTTTTCTAGAAGTATACTAACTTATTTTAATGTTTAATCAGGAATCGGATAACGGTTATTTTAAGGAGACACTGTTCCTGTTAGAGTTGGTTTAAGGTAAATAGTTTTTTTAATGTGTTTTGTACCTGCCCAAGGACTGCAGATGGAAAGGAGCTTGCAGCTAAATCTGGCACAGAGTGTCTTTTCTCTCTGAGATGACTGTTTTCTGTTCACTGTCCTTGTTTTAAATACATACAATAAAATATTGAGAGATCAATATTCACAGAGTGCTTCACTGAGTAAAAATAATACAAACTTAAAATGTATTCATTTCCAAACATTACACTAACATGGTTCTTCATGTAACTATCTAAAATATTATTTATTTATCACAAAATACAAATTGTAATAGGTTCAATCCAGGTTATAGTGAATCTGATCTTAGAATAGTCAGAACACACACACGATCAAATGACTGCATGCCTCGTGTCAAATTCTACACTACATAAAAAATCCATGATCATATTACAGTGAGTATAAAGAGAGATGCTTGGTTCAAACTATGGGAAACAATGGCTTGGCAGCAGCTGACAGTAAAATAGACTGCAGTATGATATAGTGCAATGCGGTTCAGAAGCAATTTATAGCAGCAAAGCCACCTACAGTTTCACTACAACAACACAACAACACTGAAAACACGCACTGTCATTGAAAACAGCGAATAAATACAATCAATGCAATTAAGTGGTGACTACCTGAATAATTATGCACACCCTCGTATTGTTTTAAAGCCTCCGTGCAAGAGTAAAGGTGAAGCAAAGGTGCAAAAACAGCTTACGATGCGGTTTCAGGCAATGCAATCTAGTTTTTAGTGTCTATTTTGGACATGGCAATCTCTCTTCATATGTTGTAATCATGCAGGCTGCAGACTCCTCATTAACCTAATGCATTCAGCAGTGTGTGTGGCAGCAAAGCGAAGGGAGGAGGGGGGCTAGACTTCACCATAGCTACACTGTACACGAATTACTTCTGCAATTACAGATTTATAGCCATTTTTTGCACATGATCTTTCACGAAACGAGCCAGATGAGTTAAGCGTGCGGAGCTACCCGGTGCAAAAAAACATGAAACCGCTGCTACTGCATGCTAACATCACAATACACAGCACTGTAGACAAAATAAACCAAAAATAAAACGTGCACAATTAATAATATTCGCTTTTAATGCACGGACCGTCTTAAATAAATACAAAAAAAACGCCCTACCTGTGTTTCCTCGTGATTTTTGATTTATTTAGCAGCCGTCCAGATGTTAAAAATGCAAGAGGAAGCGTGCATAAGATATTATTGTATGCGCGCTGTAAGCTAACGCTGTAGACAGGCGGTAGGTAGCGGTAGGGTCGCGTCAAAGCGGCGCTACGTACTCACCATCCAAAATAAACACGAACCGGAGCGATATCCCTGCCGCTGCCGCCTCTGCCGCGTCTGCCGCGTCTGCTGCCCGGGATTTCCGCTTTATTTCGCAGCCTCCAGGTGTAGAAATGTCAAGGCAAACCGCGGCTACGAACGCGCGTGTGTGTGGCTAGCGCAGACAGTCAGCGGTGTGTGCGCGGCGTGCTGTAACTGCTCGAGGCGTACGGAGGGCGGCGTGTGTGCGGTAAGGGAGCGGTGTGTATTAGCGCAAACAGCGGCGTGTGTGCGTCGTGTGTGCGGTGCTTTTTTCTGGACGGAGACAGAGGCAGAGAAGAGGAGGGCTCCGCTGTTGTCATGGCAACAAGCCTGTAAGCTGCTCGGAACGATGAACGGGGCCGTGTTTTGTCTGTGCCGCCGCCGCTGCTGCTCTACCGGGATAAAATTAGAAACCGAAGCCGGACAAACAAGCACAAAACTGGCTGGAGTGAAGCAGAAACGCCGTGGAGTCATTTTTATTTTCATAGTTGATAAAATAAAATAATAAAAAAAATGATATAAATAAATTAATAAAAAAAATTATAGAAAATTAATTTGTAAACATATGCCTTGCAGAAAACTAAAATAAAAATACACAGGAAATTTTTACTACACTGTATGTTCTATCTGTATTAAAATAACAATTAGTCTCAATCAATCAATCAATGAGGCTTAATTGGTCTTCTAATAATTTATGTTATTAGGTTCTTTTTTTCAGACTAAGAGACCAAGAGACTTCCTCAAGACACTATTCCAGGTGTGTGCGAGTCAAAAAGCCCCCTCATCCTTGCTGATGGTCTCTGAGGAAGTCAGACTGCAGGTGGCGCTGTCGTCCTGCCTCCACCGGTAGGAAGACAGCGCCAAAACCTGTTTAAATCAACTGAGTGACATGTCACAGAAACATCACGTGACTCTGAGGAAGAATAACATAAACAATCCTCATATTATAAAGATGCACAATTAATCTTTTCTTGTAGATCTCCCATTTACCACTTCAATCCATATTGCTTCTTGGATGTTCCGCGATATGGCATGAAATTTGTAGGCCTATATCACAATAGGTTTTGTAGCTAAAGAAATACCTTGACAAACATGTATTCTTACGCTGTACGCTGGGCCGCCTATCCCTAGATCTGACTTGGCACTTGCCTCAGTCTGGTGGTCTCACTCACTTGTCTTTGTGGTGAAGATAGTCAATAGAGTTTACAACTTACTGCCAAATGGTGGAACATTCAGGACAAAATAATAATATCTCTATAGAGAAAAACAGACCATGAAGCAGGCTGTCCCCAGTCAGCACTATGTACCAGAAAAGTTACATAATGCATCTTTAAAACAATTATTTTCAAATTATAAGATAATATTATAGCATAGAATATCATAAGAATACAAATTACTGGATTAGAGGAATTAAATAGTTCAAAATCTTAAAAAGACTCTAGAAAATGTTTCTAGACAAAAATATGAGGTAGTAATGTGTTAAAAGCAATTTATAACTTCAGAACCTGATAATAAAATCAAATGTCTCTCTCTAGTAATGCGGTTCAGAGATGATTTATACCGGCAAAGCAATGTACCGTTTCAATACAACAACAAAACAACATTTAAACACACATCGCCATTGAAAATTGCAAATAAATACAATCAATGCTGTTAATTGGGAACTACCTGAATAATTGTGCACTCCCTAATATTGTTTTACAGCCTCCATGTGAGACTAAAGGTGAACTAAAGGTGGAAAAAACAGATAACAGTGTGGTTTGGGGCAATGCTTCAGTGCTTCTTCTTGTTTTTAGTGGCTATTTTGAACATGGCAATCTCGTGTTATAAGCAAATTATAAACTGAGAACATTATAATAAAATCAAATGTCTCCCTCTAGCGGCTCAACACAAACTGTATCTGTTTGTTTCTCTGTTTCAATAAAGTTCCGATGACGTCAGTTGAAACCAAGATGGCGGCGTGCTTACCTCTGGGGTCGAAGTCACCCTCAACTTTCACGTGTTTAAGGCTTTTAACAGAGAAATATTCGCACCAAAAGCTTCTTCGATCCGGGACAGAGCAGTGCCGACGAGGTGAGGCCGTTTTTAGTTCGTTTCTGTTGCTTTAAGCCGTTTTAAAGCTGTTAAATGATGTCCAAAGCGAAGTGGGATGTAGCTGTAGTCGACCTCTCTTTATGTAAAAACATTTATTTAACATTGTTTAAGATTCTAGTGAAACAAATGACACGTTTTAGTTCATTTCCCGTCCAGTTTTAGCAGAACATGTATTTTTCTCAGATTTTCCCTTAGCAAACAGCTGACAGATCACATGTCTCTAACCTTTGGTCTTGTCTGGTCACTTTCTCAAAACTTTCTCATATTTTAAATGTTTTTCTAAAGTCAAAAAAGCCAAAACGTTTATTTATTTGTAGCCTACTATATGAGTACTAATTCTATTGTCATATTCCATGTCAGTTTTATACATTAATGACCTGTGTAGAGGCTCAGATTCATTAAAGCTCATTTTGTTTGCAGAGGATCCAAATGTTTTTACTAAAAATCTGGCTCGAGTACTCAATCATGTCAAAATAGAAATGTCAAAATTGAAGTTTGACGTTTACAAATAACCATTAAACCTAAAAAGGACAAAATGAATGATATTTGGTTATAAAACAGATACTAACATGGACATTAAAACTGACGATGTATGAATTAATAGTGTCAGTGAAATGAAGTTTTTGAGTGTAAGCATTGATAACAAATTAAATTGAAAATCTGATGTTGATCACGTGCAAAATAAGCTGCCAAGAAGCATTTTTATTCTATACCAAGCAAAACTGGTGCTAGATTAACCAGCCCTCCATATATTGTACTCTGCATTAGTTGTTCCATATTTACTATTATAAGTCTACATTAAAGCCATCAATATTCTTCAAAAAAATGCTGTAAGAATTATTCACATAGTAGGATACATGGGTCACACAAATACACTTTTTCTACATCAAAACTGTTAAAACTATATGATCTGGTTCAGTTTCAAGCAAAGCAAATCAAGTCAAAACTTGTTAGCACCTAATCTTTAAAATATGTTTAGTTCCAGACGAGGGGTGTATAGTCTGAGTGATACTTTCATGTTCAATCAACCCAGAACAACAACAACAAGAAAATGTTTTTGTGTTTCAGTGTGCTTGGTTAAACTGTGGAACAGTTTAAAGGGAGTTTTAAAGGATTGTCTACAAATTCACTATTTTAAAGTATTATTCAAACATGAAGTATTCAAGAGCTGCAGGTTGGAAGAAGGGCAATAATAACACTAGAGGAGAACAGTTTTGAAATTGTACTTAAAATGTAATAGACAATGTGAAAAGACGAAGGGAAAAAAAGATGAAGGGTACAACCAGGTTCATAGGGATTGGTGGCACAATTATTGGGTGTAAACAGGAAGTGAGTGTTTTTCATCAAAATTATTATTGTTTACAATGTATTATCACTTATAAGTTTTAAATAATATTTCATTAACATCTGCTTTCCTGGTGGCATGTCTCTAAGTTTTTTTCTCCAAAAGATTCATATTTGCACATTTTTTATACATCTCTCCAAGTCCATTCCATAAATGTTCTCCACTTACAGCCAAACTCATTTGAACAACTATTGTTGTTACTTTTACTTTTTTAAAGTTGAACTCATCTCTTAGTCCATAACCCCCTTGTCTCGCTTTGAATATATGTAGTTTATTTATTTTTAATGTAAAATGTTGCTTGGTAGTAAGTTATTCCTTGCTTTATACATTATCAGAGCAGATTTATATTTTATTAAATCAATCATTATGCCTTGATCATTGAGGTATTTCCAGGTGTGCTTTGAAAAAAACAAAAACACATTTGAGTCAACAGATTCAAACATCATGGATTTAATTGAATGTTTTTTGGATCAGAAGTGTATGTATATGTATATATATATATATATATATATATATATATATATATATATATATATATATATATATATATATATAATAAACTTCTGATCCAAAAAGCAAGTAAACCACTGACAAATGTAAACCACAGTGGCATGGGTAATATTTGCTGGATAAGGCTATATGGTTTTTCTAAAAGCTGTATTTTATGGTATTTTTTAGTATTTGTTTCCAGCGGAATCTTTTCAACCAAAAATATAATAATACATAACACTTGTATAGTGCAAGGATGCGTCACACAGATCAGGACAGACACAAACACAAATGTAAGAAGCAGATAAACAGGAGATGCAGTTATTGGACAGGTGAGTGTTCAGGGCTTTTTTTAAAGATACTGAGTGTAGAAGATCTCTGATGTGTTTGAGTGCCGTGACTCAAAAAAAGTTGAAAAACACTGCAGTTATACCTTCATGGCTTCATATTTATTGACCTTTGTATTCCTCAGGCTACACAGTGAAAGCAGAGAGTGCACCGGAGGAGAGCCCCAGGTTTAACGGGCCTCTGGATCACTACAGCGGTCTGATCAGAGACGGGACGTTGCGGGAGGATGAACACCAGAGGGCGGTGTTACAGACCCTGGACCAGCTCCATAAGAAACTCAGAGGCTACAGCAACACGCCTACATCTCTATTCTCCAAGGTGCAGCTTTTTATTGACCAAAAGCTATCTGTTTAAGTTGTTTTTGCTGATGTCCATCATTTGGATGAGGAAGGAGCCAATGGTTTTGTATCTTTAAAAGCGCTGTACCAGATGTTTACAAACGAGAAAAACAGAGCTAGTTCATTTGAAACCATTTAAAAATGTACTCCTCACTTGGCATTATTTATAGATACAAAAATGTAAATCAGTAATGTGAGTAAAAATGAGTTTCCAGAGCTCAGTGGGACTTTCCTGGTTAAATAGGCAATAAAATAAAAATGTACCCTTTTCTATGTTAAGCAAATAAGATGCATAGAATAGTAATAAGCCCCACTGTGTACTGTCTAAGTACAAAGGAGCCAGTACTAATTCTTTACAATGTAATAATGTAACGTAAAGTAATAACCCAGGGTAATAATGTAATACAATGAACTATGGACTAGAGCCCGACCGATATGGATTTTGCTGTGGCCGATATGAAACCGATATAATGGGAGTTGGCGCTGCCGATAGCCGATATAATCGCCAATATATTAAGTGATGTAAAAATTCACTGTAAATGTTGAATTGTTTAAAAAACTTAGGTTTGGCTCTGGTGGATTTTAAATTGGGTTTATTTAGGCAACATTTATTGTTATTCTGCCTCTTTACATCATATTTACAGACAGTAAATTGGCTTAATGGCATTTTTGCATCACATTCTAGACACTAGTGATGGGTATTCCAGTTCTTTTTAGAGAACCGGCTCTTTTGGCTCGGCTCACTAAAAGCTGCTGGTTCTTTTGGCTCCCAAGTGGCTCTTCAGATTGTCTTGTTGCAAGCAGGACTAAAGCACGTCTAAAGCAGGACTGAATCAGGACTGAACCAGGTCTAAAGCAGGACTGAAAAAGGACTAAACCGGGACTTATTTATTTTATGCTAAACTACAGTCAAATATGCTCGGTTTTTTTATTTTTATTTTTTTTTATCCTACGTACACGCACATTTCTCAAAGTTTCGTTTTTAGCCGCTGCCGCTGTCAAACAACGAATCACGCGGCGTGAAGAGAAAAAAAGTGAGAGAAAGAGAAAACACGACTCCCAATAAGGATCAGGCTCCCGTCGTTCCCTTCAAAGAGCCGGTTCTAAGAGTCATTTCGTTCGCGACGGACCCATAACTAGTAAAGAAAGTAGCGCTATTAGCGGTAATTAATTATATGCGCAAATGTCATAATTCACACGTCTGTTCACAGCTCATTTACATATCAGTGCAGGTCCAGTAGCAAATATACGGCCATTGTAGCCAATTTAGAACAGACCAATAGAAAACAGTCTGTTTATGTGCGGGAGCTACAGCAGCTAACCCATAACAAATGACAAAAACTAGCTTCAGAGTCGACATATTTCCAACACTCACCGCTCACACAGGCTCCTCCTCACATCACAAGTCTGCACTAATAAATGTCCTTTTAATCCAGACTCAAACCGATTGTCCGTAAAAAGAATATAATCTCAGTGTTTGGATCTGTGTCTGCAGATGTAAACAAACACACGTGAGTGACGCGACTCTGTGGTGTGTTCAGGGACAGTACGGACACACACACACAAATGACTCCGTAGATAAATACTGATGTGGAGCCACATATTAGGACATTTATCTGTCTGTAAATTGGATTAAATGAACAGAATGTAGAGAGTCTAAGCTTTATAACGAGGTATAACATGCCCACGTGAAATATCGGCCCCTATCAGCAAGCATATCGGCCGATAGCCGATATGCACAAAGTTGCCCATGTCAGCCGATAATATCGGCCAACCGATATATCGGTCGGGCTCTACTATGGACTAGTAGACCTGAAGGACTAAGTACGGCTCAGGAGAGAGGAGACTGGAGGTTGCTTTAGATCATCGGTCTTCAACCTTTTTCCTCTGGGAATCTACCTTTACAAAACACACATGCCACAGAGCTACTAGTTTTATTTGTCAAAAAAAAAAAAGAATATAAGACCCACAGAATGCCTTTGATGTGGAACAGTTAGATGGCTATAAAACACAAACCACTATCCATTTATTAGTGCTCTAAGTTAAGCTTCAAAATGACACATTTACAATGGTAACGGGTATTTCATTCATCAAATTTGATTTGTTTGTTTATTTGAGACAGGGCCAGTGCACAATTTTGACATGAACCTTAACAGGAGAGATGTTTGTACCAGGTTGTAACACCAGAGCAAATTTCCACCTGTAGTCCCTGGGCAGGTTCATTGATTAATTGTATTTATCTGACCTTGACTATCAACTGTTCTTCCTGAAGACCTGTAGCATGTTTTGGGTTGATGGAGGAAACCGGAGCGCCCTGAGGAAACCCCTTCCAGACACGAGGACAAACATGCAAACTCCACACAGAAAGGCCCGGGCGACCAAACCTTGAAAGCTTCTTGGGTGAGGCATGAGTGCTAACCACTCAGCCACTGTGCCGTGATATATTCAGCACAATATGTTTAATTCATAAATGCCTTGGTGAGCTGCTTGGAAGGAGGTGGAGAGCTCCTGTTAGCACCTGAGCTACAGGTTGGAGTACTGTGTATTAAAAGCAGACTGAAGAGTAGAGTGAGTGAATGACTTTCACTGAGGGAGGAAACCCAATATTTACAATGTTTTAATAATAAACAAGTTCACAGATCCAAAACCTGGAGTATTTACAATGTATTTATTTTCAAGTTATAACTGTCCATAGAGCGCATTACTCGAGTATAGTGCTTACTGACAACAGTGTCTCAGTGCTGATGACTTTTTTGTACTATCACAGTGTACATCTTTCGTGCTCCCACTGCAACATAATTAAAGTGTATACAAGTAATTTTACCAATGAGTTTAGTCTAGACAATTGTGTGATGTTTGTTGTTTTGTTATGTTTCAGTTTTTCACCAAACCAAAGCCTCCTAAAGGTTACTACATCTACGGCGATGTGGGTGAGTTACTGTAGTAATTGCAGTAGTAAAAGCAACGTATTCAACTACAACTGTATTTATTATTCATTTAAGTTAAAATACCCATATTATGCTATTTTTTATCTGTTCTAATGTCGTTTCCTCATCACAAATAGACCTGAAGTTGTGTTTTGTTTCATTCACATGTTAAACACACAAACCTTCACATTTAGGCTTAAACTCCACACACCTTCACTAGAATAATTGGATTATTTCAGACCTGGAATTACCAATCTCTACTGAACTAAAGTTCAAATGTAGCTGCGAACTTCATGACATCACAAGGTGGAATAGATCATTCTGAGCTTTGTAGCTGTAAACAGACTAATAATAAAGAGTTACTCAAACAAAACACAACTCCAGATCTGTTTTTGAGGAGGACACAACATTTTAAAATGAATTAAAGCTCACAAGGGTCCATTTCGTGTAATATAGGACCTTTAATGATTTTGTGTATTTTTTTTAGGCACTGGGAAAACTATGGTGATGGACATGTTTTATTCTTATGTGGAGACGGAGAAGAAAAAGAGGGTCCATTTTCACGGGTTCATGCTGGATGTCCATAAAAGTGAGTTCCTGTTTTGTGTTGTGTTTCTGTGATTTTTCTGACAAACATGGTGATTGTATTTTTATTTATGATTTACAGTACGATTCTGTTCAAACATTCACATTTCAAATGCGTTCAGAAGACAAAAAGAAATATGAAGTGAAAAACAAATCGAAGAATGACATGCGTTTCTGAATGTTTCTACAGAGTGAGCCGCTTTTTAATGCAGCCTTTGTGATTTGCTGATTGCATTCACAAATTTCGCTCTTTTGATTTGAATGCAATGAATCCTGCTGCTTACTCCCTAATTTGTTGGTTTGTAGTTCAATCCCCCTTGACTAGCAAGGCACTTTGAGTCAGTGGTTCCTTCATGTAAAGCACCCAGAATGCCCTTTAGAGTTTCAAGATACATACAGACACAAGTGAAGTAAATTCTTTGATCTACAACGCTGAAAGGTGTATTGCGTAACTTTTTGGTGGAAAGTCCGTCATCTGCTGCTGTTTCTATGGATAGGTCATTGTTCTGCCTGGAATGTTCTACAGTGTGACATTAAACAGCTCTACTTTACATTTATTCAATTTCAGGTGATTTTATAGCTCAAAAATACCTAGAAAAACAGACATTGTGACCTGTAACTTGATCTGGATTGGTCTCTATGAAGATAGAAAAGTTCAATGCCATGTTCAAGTCACACTGGACTATAAGTCGCACTTTTTGAGGGAAATTTATTTTATACCATCAGGGACCAGGAACCGACATTTCATCTTGAAAGGCAAGTTATAGTAATAATAATAGAACAGAGAACAACAGACTGAATAGCCGTTAATATGTTAACGTAACATATGAACAGTTATTCAGATAATTATAGCATAAACAACAGAACATAAGTTTACCAAACTCACCATCTCACTCCAAATCACTAAATCCATTGCATCCATTAAATTCTTCATCCCCTGTGTCACTTCTGAGCAACTCCGCGCAACTTCGGTGCTTCCAGTGTGCTTGCAACTGTTCTCTCAGTCAATCACAAGTTTCTCGCTCACTCTAAACATTACCGACAGTTGCAGTGCTCCGCAGAAAAGACTAAAAAGACTCGCACCAGAGTATAAGTCGGAAAACAGACCCATGATAACTTATCCAAAGTAAAATTGTGTCATACTACATTGCTCATTTGTTCTTAATGACAAATATTAATATTGTGAAGAAAAAAGAAAAACAGGTCTTGTTTGTTAAGTTGTGTGAATAATATTGTTTGTTTGTGTGCAGGGATCCACAGGTTAAAACAGAGCATGCCCAAAAGAAAAGCAGGAAAAATGGCCAAATCGTATGACCCCATCGCTCCAGTGGCCGAGGAGATCAGTGAGGAGGCCTGTCTGCTCTGCTTCGATGAGTTTCAGGTTTGTCTTTCTTATATTACAACAAACTCACCTGTTATCACTGTTACTGCTATTACCTAGTACACTGTTCTTACACAAACACTCTCCTTGTATTCCAGGTGACGGACATCGCAGACGCCATGATCCTGAAGCAGCTTTTTGAAAACCTTTTCCTTCACGGTGTGGTCGTCGTGGCAACTTCAAATCGCCCCCCAGAAGGTCTGTATCGGGTGGTGTTTTCTGAGTGAAGTAGGTTTCCTTTACAGAACCACTCAAAACATGTACAATGTGGTAGTAATAGTGTCTATAATGTACAATAGAGATTCCAGACATCAGTGGGACTTTCCTGATTAAATAGGTAATAAAGTAAAAATGTACCTTTTATTTCTGCATTACTCAGTTATAGTTCTTATTGTCACTTGTTGAGACACGTGTATACACAGGTGGCTTTTGCGTCAGTAGAGTTTTGACCTTGTGTATAAGGCCTTGGCTACATCATATATTTTTGTGTTTCTTGTAGATTTGTATAAAAACGGCCTTCAGAGGGTCAACTTTGTGCCTTTCATTGGTGTTTTACAGGTACAATCTCTCTTCTTGTATTATGTGACCGTGATTTTGAGCTGCTTTTCTGAGTCATACATTTTCTTTTGCAGAAATATTGCCAAACTCTTCGGTTAGACTCTGGGATCGACTACAGAAAAAGAAACCGGCCGTCAGCAGGCAAACTCTACTTCCTGTAAGAAAATCATTTATAACATTCCTGTAACACTGGACTGTCTACAAATAAAAATCATACTATACCATAACGTTTGAGCTGATTTATTATTTCTGTCTCATTCACAGCTCCAGTGAACCTGACGCAGAAGCGACTCTAGACAAGATGTTTGACGAGCTCGCCTTTAAACAGAACGACAGTAAGGCACTTCAGTGGGTTTAAGTCACTGTATTTGACGTTGCACTTTTAAATAAACACATATTATGTAACTTTCCTGATGTGGGGCCACTTTAACCTGGCTCACGCCAGACTGATCTGTGTGTCACTCTGATCTGAGGTCTACACATTATCGATCTGGAACTGTCTCTGGCTCTCACTGAAAGAGATCACAAAACATGGAACATCATGGCAGTTATTTGATTCTGACTGGTCAAAGTGTCTCAACAGCGGATCAAGAAAACAAACTAAATCCAGTTGAAAGAAAAACTCAGACATTTCCCCTGTCCACAATTGCACACAGCTTTTCCCTCTGCGCTTTCTTCACAAACTAAATAGTCTGTTCTGACGCTAAAACAGGCTGAAGTTTGTCTGTAGGCGTCGCCATGTTTGTTTTGGTTTGTTTGGGCGCTTCACCTTCAGCTCTGCCCAAACCTCAGTGCTGTGACGTGATTGGTCCATCCTCCCGGGTTAACCATACAGCGGGTGCACTCCAAGATGGATTCTTGTGAATTTGTGTCACAAATGTCAGAGAATCCAGCCTGTTGTGCGAGGCTAATGCCACTTGCTTGTCTCAATGGAGGATTAAGATTTGCCTTGAATGTTCCTCAGTATGTCTTTAAACATATCTTGCATGTATTTAAGTACATGTGTTTTTGTTAAACATTTCTTTGAAAAACTTGAGTTTTTACATTGGGTTGGTTTGCCTCTCCACAGATCTGACCTCAAACTTAGTGGAACTGCTTATATACGTAAATATAGATATGTTGTCATATTATTGAACATTCCAGGCACGGGAATAACATCTCCATGGAGACAAGAAGTATGAGGACCCTGAAATAAACGTTTCGTAGTCATTTTAATGTATAATATTATTTTTCAGTAACTCGACCGAGAATCCTGAACGTGCACAACAGAAAAGTGCATCTGGACAAAGCCTGTGGGACCATCGCAGACTGCACCTTTGAGGAGCTGTGTGACAGGGTGAGTATCTGACACACTGGGGTCTAACGCAGCAGAGTCAGGGAAGTTACTCTGAAACAGTTTCAAAATGTTCATATCACTATGTCGCGTGCGGCTGCCATGCTTTGACCTGCGGTGCCCTGTGCTCTGGTGAGTGTCGCCTTCACTGTCTTCACTAAACTGTCGGTGTTGTTTCCAGCCTTTGGGAGCCAGTGATTACCTGGAGATGTCCCGTCTGTTTGACACAGTCTTCATTCGTCACATTCCTTTGTTAACATTAAACAAAAAGACTCAGGCCCGGCGCCTCATCACTCTGGTGGACGCTCTCTACGACCACAAGGTACAGCTGCTCCATCAGGAAGTCCTGTATACACTTCTATATTATGGCACTGACTTTTTAAACATATTCAGCAGAAACTCTTGATTCATGTGACGTCACAACATTGTCGAATATAGCTTAACATGAAACTGTAGGAAAATATTTGAGTACGAATTGCCAAAAACAGGTTTACTTTTATACTTGGGTCATACAAAAAAATTTTCATTTTTGAAGAACTTCTTACTAGAACTTATGGAAAGAGTTATATATATTATAACGCTGCAACATGCAAAATGTAAAGTTTGTGGGGAAAACTGGACAGTTTAGTTGAATGACATCTGACCTTTGTTCTGTATGTTTGTTCTTTTGTTTTGTTATATTTTATTATAATGTGAAACAATAAAAAAACAAGTTAAAAAACTGAAAAGCTGAGCTGGAGATAGGTTAGAGTCTCAGGTGGAGTTTGCTGTAACTGTCAGATGCAGATTTGTTGTCCTGGTTTATGGTTTATATCTCTGTAATAACTGGGCCTGAAACAAAAACGTCACAAAGTTCAGCATCTTCTCTATCATTAGAAATAAACAGAAAGCTTGGATATTTCCTTCAGTAGTAAAAAAAATCAAGGCTGTAAACAAAATACATCTAAACAGGTGAAAACAAATCAAATCATTTTTACTAATTTGTAGATTTTTGTTTTAGTAATGTATAGGTTCTGTAATTTCTTAAGACCTGTTTTAGTCCTCATTTAGGCCCCACACAAACCTTGAATTTTAATCATTTGTTTCAGAAATTAAAAATTTACAATCATCAGTGAAAACACCTGGTTTGTGTCTTGTTCCAGGTTCGAGTTGTGATTTTGGCCGATTATCCACTGGAGGAGATCTTTGTTCATAACGGGGACCACAGCCACGACGAGAGCCACATTCTGATGGACGATTTGGGACTTAAGAGGGTCAGAACTCCACTTAAATGAAATCTCCTGACTTATTTCCAACACAGTTTGTCTTTTGCTGTCACGTTATGAACTGACAAACTCACGTCTGGCCTGTTCAGCTTCTGCATTTCAGAGTGGAGCACGTTTTAAGTCCACTTCATTCCAAACTATCGGTCATGTTCATGTGACATCTCAACATTGTAGAATCCACATTGATACAATGTTATCATGCTAGCAGGGGCTCTGCATGTGTGTCTATGGTGGAATGTTCAGCAGTTACCATGGAGACACAACACTAACAAACACTGCCTGATAAGATTTTAGATTGTCTGAAAGCACAATAAACATACAAAATGACAAACACTTACAGTTCTTTATAGTCAGATTGTGTTAAAACAAAACTCAGATTAAAGTAACAGAGCTTTATACAGAAGAGTACACTAATATTCATTTATATTTTTCTCTTCTCCAGGATGAAGCCAGCAGTCTGTCCATCTTCAGCGGAGAGGAGGAGATGTTTGCGTTTCAGAGGACGGTTTCTCGACTCACGGAGATGCAGACGGAGGAATACTGGATCGAAGGAGACCGCAGTTTAAGACAATGACATTTGGACCAGCTCAGTGTTTTATCACTACAGACTGCATTTTTTAACAATATTCAAGTGTAAATCTGCTCCAAACCCAGGTGCTTCCTTATAAACAAGCCAAAAACACCACTCCTCAATGAAATGAAGTCAACGGGACTCAAAGCAAAAACTGTACAGAACTATTTATTATTAGAATTTTAACACCTTGGATTTCAAAATGCACTTTATATGACATATTTAAGACGCACAGAAAAAACATATCTATTAGCTACAAGAAGTTAAAGATACACTCTGGAACTTTTCTGGTGGGGGTCTGACATCTTTGCTTAAATGTTCCACAGTACAGCATTGCGTACATGAATATATATTGTACGTATTCTGTTATTTTCTTTGTTTTTCCTGCTCAAAAATATATTCTCCACAGATCTGACCTGTAACTTGTCTCTGTGGAGAGTTGAAAGCCACACTTTAAGATTTTGTTGGCACAGAATAACGTCACCATGGAGACAAGCGCACCTTTAAAATTCAAAATATTAATCCTAATTTGAGTTGTTTTTTACTTAATTTACAAGATGAACTGACTTTTTGAAGATAAAACTATAACGCTAGATTTATTGTTTTGTTTTGAGCTGTTAATTTGAAAACTACTACATCTTCCTGACATCACAAGGTGGAACAGAGCTTTTTGAGCTTTGGAGATGTAAACAGACTAATAATAATGTGTGAATGAAACAAAGCACAACTCCAGGTCTGTTTTTGAGAGGAAACAACATTATAAAACTCACAAGAGTCCATTTTGTGTCATATAGGACCATTAAATAGTCCTAAATACTCAAATCAAGATTGATATTCTAAATTCAACTCCTTGTAACTAATGTAGATCCTGTTTTGAAGTGGGGCAGAAATGTATAATAACAGATATAACTGTAAAGCATATGGGAGATGTAAAGTTGAATTTTAAGGACATGGTGCAATTATGAACTTTCTAAGAACTGTTTTAAAATATTGACTGTATGAAAATGTAATTACAGAGGATTGAAATGGGAAACATGAGCTGCTGTTTGTTTGTGATGATAAAAAGGAAGGTGCTTTTTAAATGTGTCAATTTAATATAAAAACTGTACGAAATCTCTTAAAACTTAAAGACAAAATACTCATAAATGTGTCTAATAATCGCCCATTTCTTACTGTTTAGTTATGAGTTAAGTTTTATTTATCATTCTGTCTCGCTTTCTATTCTTCTAGCTATTGTTCTATCCTATGTATCATTCTATTGCTCTATCGTTCTTTCTATCATTCTATCCATTGTTCTATCCATCATTTTATCTACCGTTCTATACATTGTTCTGTCATTTTGTCTATCATTTAGTCGTTTTTTCAATCGATCATTCTATCATTCTTTTGTATGTTTTTTTGTTTGTATTTGTTTTTTCCATTGATCTATTGTTCTATACTGTTCTATGTATATATTGTTCTATCTATCTTTTGTTCTATCATTGATCTATCATTTTATCAATCCATCGTTCTGTGCAGAATCAGTCAGTTGTCGAACAATTGACTTTGTCAACTGGACAAACGTTTATTTAGGATGAATACATGAATACATGAAGGAGGAGCTAACTACACTGAAACTACTCTGAAACTAACACACCCGCACACTTGTTTACAGTTTCGGTTTATTAGCTGGGCCTGTTCTTCTGGACTGAGTGAGGGGATATATTAACAGAATCATTCAGGCACATAATTAACGTTTGTCCAGTTGACAAATGAATTTCTCCTTTACTACCTATTGTTCTGTTGTTCTATCAATCTATCTATCTGTCGTTCTATCCATTGTTCTATTGTTCTACCAATTGTTCTGTCAGTCTTTTTGTATCGTTGTATTTGTTGTATCATTCTATCCATTGTTCTGTCCTTCTATCTGTTCTTTCCATTGATCTATCCTTCTATTTATTTATAGTTCTATCCTTCTATTGTTCTATCATTTTATCTATCGTTCTATCGTTCTTTGAATCATTCTATCGTCATTCTGTCATTCTATATTTCTATCTGTTCTTTCCATTGATCTATGGTTCTATCTATTTACCATATATATTGTTCTGTCTATTCTATCTGTCATTTTATCTATCAATGGCTCTGTCCATTGTTCTATTTATCATTCTAGCTATCTGTTATTTCCTTTGATCTGTCTTTCTATCTGCAAATTGTTCTGTCTATCCATCAGTCTATTATTCTATATGCCCTTCTTCCCTTCATCCGCCTGTTTGTCCGTCCTGTTTCTTCAGAGTTCTTGTAGCTCGGGGAATAGACCTTTTTATGTTGAAGTTCATTCTCCAATTACTGACAAGTTCATGAGCTCTGGGTAATGACAGAAAGGATGACATCACAGATACAAGCGGTTGAAATGAGTTTCCTCTGCAGGGTGTCTAGGTGCTCTCTTAGAGATAGAGTGAGGAGCTCAGTCACATGGGAGGAGCTTGGAGTAGAGCTGCTGCTCCTCCACATCGAGAGGAGCAGCTGAAGGGAGGACATCTGTTCTGATGCCTCCTGGACGTCTCCCTCAGAAGGTGTTCTGGGCATGTCCCAAAGGGAGGAGGCTCCGGGAAAGACCCAGGACACACTGTCCTCAGGGACTATGTCTCTCAGTTGGCCTGGGAACACCTCAGGATCCCCCCGGAGCAGCTGGAGGAAGTGTGTGTGCAGAGGGAAGTGTGGGAGTTCCTGCTCAGACTGCTGCCTCCGCAACTCGGCCCCAGATAAAGTGGAAGAAAATGGATGGTTCTACAGTCTGAGACAAAATCTTCCTACAAAATGCATAAAATATTTCTTTAAACAAAGACTTTTCCGGTGAGATGGTGCATTTTTATCTCTATAGAAACACTAAATAATGATCTCGACTGTTGAACTTAAAAAAATACTGAAAAACACAAAGCAGAAGCGGAGTGGGAGGTGAGAAGAATAGTTATATCTTTAAATGGTGTTAACAAATATATTTATAACACCAAGATAAAGCATTGTTAAAACCTACTTTTGCTACGTGTCAGATGCCCTCCCAATTTTCAAATATTCCTTTGTGCCAGGTCCTCCCATCCCTCATATATCCATTTATGTCAGATGCCCTCCCATCCTCCTGTATCCCTGTGTCTGATGCTCCTTGGATAAATTGCATCATTTACATTTGCACTCGAAAGCAGAAGGAGACAAGTGTAAAACAATTAGCTTTAGAAGAGATTTAGAATGATGATGTGACGAGCAGTTAAAGACAACACAAAGCTTAAACACAAATCTGACCCTCTCCTCTGCTCCTCTTTATCCTCTGCTCCATCAGTTCCCATCTGGTCTCAGTACTGACATATTGCTGTGTCCTTGGGCAAGACACTTCATTCACCTTGCCTGTGAGAGTGTAAGTAAGACTTTCTCACTGGTATGTGACATTATGATGAGGCAGATTGCAGGACAGGGCCAGTGCCTTGGCAGGGTTTAGTTATGTTTTTGTCTTTTTAGATGTTGCAGATTGATTTATGTCTTTGTTCTTTGGCTCTTTCTCAAACATTGTTTTGTGTTCCCGGTGTGTCTGGGCTGCGTTGGGGAAAAGCTTTTGTTTGTTCGGAATGAAATTCCTGCTCGTCATTCCTTGTAGAAGCGTCTGTATCTTTCCTTCCATCTCCACGCAGAGGGTGATGTCATCTGTATCCCGTACAGTAGACGTATGCAGTGTTTTTGCGTGGATTCTGGTGCTATCGCTTTAAATTCTGCGCAGCGCGGAGCAGGGGGCAGTGCTTCGGTCAGGGATGGTTCTTTGCGCCAGGAGCGACCACAGCAGCAGCGGCAGAGGCGGCAGGAGGAGCGGCACAAGATTGAATGAAATGTCTTTACGCGCGGCTGGCCACACGGAGAGACTCGTACCGGGGGCTGTACGGGGGCCGCAGTAGCGCGGGGCGCAGTATCGTATCGTGGTCGCGGCCGAGCGCGCGGCTCTGCAGCGGCTCGCGGACGGGACTAGGCCTTGGTGCTGCTCGTACCGCCGCGCGTGCGTTCACGGGCAGTGGGTCAGATCCGTGGATGAGAAAGAGCTCGTGCTCAGATAACGGGGAAGATGGCAGCTGCCTGCGGGAGGGGGGTGCGGGTCGTGCGGGTTTAGACGGGTTTGGAGCCGCGCTTTGTGGAGCGTCGCGGGAGATTAGTCCGTCCACGCGGGGAGAAATAGCGATGCACGTTGTGCAGGGTGTGTGCGGCGAGAGAGGGGCAGAGGACACGGGGGTTTGTTAACGGTCAGCGCTGGAGACAGACGGACACACGGACACGTGCAGTGCGCTCCATTTGCATTCGGCGGAGAGCGCGTGCCTCGGTCTTCGGACATTGATGGAATGCGCCCCGCGTGAGCTGAGAGGCGTTTGTGCACACGGACCACAGCGGGGAACATGGCTGAGGCGCCCTCCGGCTCCGAGCCGCCCCCGGGGCCGCCGCTGGAGATAGACCCGGACTTCGAGCCCCAGAAGCGGCCGCGCTCCTGCACCTGGCCGCTGCCCCGTCCCGAGTCCGGAGCGAGCAAACCGGGCACCAATGACACTGACGTCATCCCCGAGGAAGAGGACGACGAGGATGAAGGCTCTGCCCAGAAACCCGCTGCCGACCCCCGCGAGGCGCCCGGCGGCGTGTCCCAACCCGTGGAGGTGCAGCCGCGGGGCGCCCTGAAGGAGGACACCGCCGACGGCTCGCCCTCCTCGGTGCAGTTCTCCGCTTCGGCCCCGGGCTCCGCGTCGCAGCAGCTGAGGAAGTCCTCCGCCCGCAGGAACGCCTGGGGGAACTACTCGTACGCGGACCTCATCACCCAGGCCATCGAGAGCTCCCCGGAGAAGCGCCTGACCCTGTCCCAGATCTACGACTGGATGGTGCGCTCCGTGCCGTATTTCAAGGACAAAGGCGACAGCAACAGCTCCGCGGGCTGGAAGGTGAGGACCAGATTCATATGTGCACAGTACAGTCCAGGAGTAGAGACACACGCAGCGACAAGCAACACTGCACTTTACGCGCCATAACATCACCTATAAGTGACAACAAAGAGATTCCACTGCACGTTCAGCTCTAAGGAGGAGGAGACCAGCTGATTGTGTCACAACAAACTCACATCTGCATCACACACAGCACCGTGCAGAGGAGGACAGGTACTACAGGGCACAGAGGAGGAGAGAGGATATGTGGTACAGAGGATCAAAGTACTCTGAAGTTAGAGCTGCTAGAAAAGAGGAGGTCTAGATGAAAACCAAAGTGGAGATGTGGATGAAGTGAAGGAAGACATGAAGTTAGTTGGCGTGAAAGCAGAGGATGCAGAGGAGAGGGTCAGATGGTGTAAAATAATCCTTACATAGTTTACACATGTATTCAATCGTTGGCCATGTCATTGAAACAAAAAGCTCCAGCAGCACGCTCAGAGTTCAGAAGTGCAAATGGCTTTACAAAAGAAGACAAGCACAGAACAGGCTGTACCAACATGATAGTTTTAAAATCATAACCGTGACCAAATCAGGTCTTAAACACAGTATATAACATTCTAGTCTAACATGTCCTCTGACATGATGAATTTGAAAGCAGAAAATGATCACATCAAGTCACTGTGCTAACAAAACTATCTGTGTGTTTTTATTGTGATTACTGTTTTATGAGCATGTGCACAGTCGAACAAAACGAGGATTAAGCGTGTGTGTTAAACGTCAGATGGAGGGCAGGGCCTGTGTGAAGTCTACAGTCTACAGTCCACTGTTTCAGAAAGAAATCTCCAATAGTCCAATAGTCCACCAAATTAGATCATTAATTTTAAAGGGCTGGGTTCACAATCTTACTACATAAAACGTTTTAAACATTATACTTTTACTCCTACTTGTGTAATATATCTGACAGTAACAGTACTCTTACTTAAAGGTCCCATATTACACACAACTGACTCTTGTCTTAATCCATGTTCTAATGTTGTTTCCTCTTCAAAAACAGAGTTGGACTTGTATTTTGTTTCATTCACATGTTTGAGTAACTCTTTGTTTTTAGTCTGTCGACATCTCCAAAGCTCCAAATGCTCTGTTCCACCTCGTGACGTCATGTAGCAGTAGTTTTACCTTTAGTTCAAAAGAGATTGTGAATTTCGGGGCTGAAATGATCCAGATATTTCTTGTGAAGGTGTGTGGACACAGTGGAGCACTTCCTGTATAACCACATGACATCACAAGGTGGAACAGAGTGATTTCCGTTTGACAGAAGAACTCAGCCTAAATATGCAGAGTTTGTGTGTTAAACATGTGAATGAAACAAAACACAACTCCAGGTGTGTGTGTGATGAGGAAACATCATTAGAACAGATCAGAAAAAAGCGTAATATTTAGATTTGACCTTTATTTAAGCAGTGAGATTCAGATTATCTTTTCAGCAGAGACACAATCAACACAAAACAGTCAAATCAGAAACTATCCCATCATAAAACCATTTGCAGCTCTCAAGAAAAACACGTCTCAGTCTTCACTCTTCACTCTTCACGATTTCTTGAACTTATCAGGTGACACCACAGATTCCAGTTGAAGATCTTTCTGTAAATGAATCCAAGACCATGGAGCTGTAGGAAAAGGCAGATTTTTGGAGCTCAGAGGCACCGAGGCACAGTGAAGAGGAACTGTGAGGAGGAGTGAAGCCGATGACAACCTGAGCTCATATTAAGGAAATTACCGAGGTACCCAGGAAGGTTCCCCAGTGTGGCTTTATAGATAAATATTAACCAATTTGCAGAAAAGAGCGATGTCCAGCCAGCTAAAGCATAAAGAGTGCAGTGAGGAGTGACAGGCTTTGGTGAAGATGGGCCCTTTAACTTGAGTAAAAGTTGTGGTTCTTCTTTCCTCCGTGCGGACAAAACTTTTATGACGACAAAATTGCAGAAAGGTGCTTCATTGCTTCATGTTTTGTTCTTCCAATTGTGATAACTTCAAATTATATCAGATCTGTGGTTTGGTTTTGTCCCGTTACTCTTACATCATTGTAGTTTCCCCAAATACTTTTTACTCTTTCTTCAGTAATTACATGTACCATTGCACTTCTACTTGCTTAAAATTATTTTGAACAGTGTTGGGAGTAACAGATTACATGTACCATAGTTATATAATCAGAGTACAAATTATGAGTAACTGTATTCAGTTACAGTTACTGTTTCAGTGAGTGGTAATTGGATTACAGTTACTTTGTTGAAATAAAGAGATTACATGGTGGGATTTTCCTGTTTTCCTGTTTTCACATTTTGCTCTATATCCCCACTTTTTTTTTTTTCCAGTAATTCCACTCATTGCCAGAAACTAAACTAGATCTAAACCAGGTCTAAACCAGGACTAAAACCAGCACTAAAACCAGGTCTAAACTAGTTCTAAACAAGATCTAAACCAGGACTAAAACCAGGTCTAAACTAGAGCCAAACCAGGACACAACCAGGACTAAGACCAGGTCTAAACTAAATATAAACTAGATCTAAACCAGGTCTAAAACCAGGTCTAAACTAGATCTAAAACAGGTCTAAAACCAGGTCTAAAACAGGTCTAAAACCAGGTCTAAACCAGGACTAAACCATCCTAGTCTTTGCTACTCTACAGCAAATCAAGTAATCCAAAGTATTCAGATTACGTTACTCACTTTAATTAATTTAATGGATTATGTTACAAACTACATTTTGGGGTATGTAATCTGTAATCTGTAGGGGAATACATTTTAAAAGTCACCTTCCCAACACTGATTTTGAAGTAACCGTGCTCATATTTAATTCACGTTTTGGCTGCTCTAACTCTCTCCACCTCTGTGAACGTATCTGAAAGGAGCTTTAAAATTCTGAGCAGTGCGTATATCTGTGCCTTTGATTTGGCCGCTCTCCCGCTGCTCCCGTCTGCAGCTCCGAGTCCTGCTCCAGTCCCGGGATTAGTCAGGATTCAAAAAAAAAAAAAAAACCCAAAAAAAACAGTTCAATCGAGAATCTGAGAAACTATAAAGGTTTTAGATGAGAGGGACAGCAGGGGGCGCTCTGTCATCCGCCGCTGAGGAGCACACTCGCACTAGAACAAGAGTCTGCTCTGGAGTCAGTCAGACCGAGTGTAGGCTCCTGCAGGAACGTACAGACACCTGTGGGGTTTAAGGTGCAGCGTAGAACTTGTGTAATTCCATGGAAACAGAAAGTTAAAACCATACTACGGAACTTTCTCCATCTGTTTTGCTCATTTTTCATAGTATCAGCGCAGCTTGTCGGTTTTGTAGTGGACGTTTATTGATTCACTGACGAGAGTTCATCATGAAAAGTGCTGAGTTCACTGAGGCGACTTTGAGCTGCACAAGCATTTCAAATACCAAGACCAAGACCAAGACCAAGACCAAAACTGGACCAGAGACCAAGACCAAGACTGGACCAGAGACCAAGACTGGACCAGAGACCAAGACTGGACCAGAGACCAACCAAGACCAAGACCAAGACCAAGACTGGACCAGAGACCAACCAAGACCAAGACTAAGACTGGACCAGAGACCAACCAAGACCAAGACTAAGACTGGACCAGAGACCAACCAAGACCAAGACCAAGACTGGACCAGAGACCAACCAAGACCAAGACTAAGACTGGATCAGAGACCAACCAAGTCCAAGATCTACATTGGACCAGAGACCAACAGAGACCAGAGACTGGACCATACACAGGGATCAGAGTCCAAAAACCAGTGTCCAGAGCCCAAAGACCAGAACAATAGACCAGAACAAGAGACGAGACCAGATCAGACCAGAGACCAGACCAGAGTCCAGAGGAAAGACCAGAGACCAGACAGGATCAGACCAGAGACCAGACCATAGCCCAGATGAAAGACCCGAGACCAGACCAGAGTCCAGACCAGAGTCCAGATGAAAGACCAGAGACTGGAGCTAAGACCTGAGACCAAAGACTGGAGCTAAGACCTGAGACCAAAGACTGGAGCTAAGACCTGAGACCAGAGACTGGAGCTAAGACCTGAGACCAAAGACTGGAGCTAAGACCTGAGACCAAAGACTGGAGCTAAGACCTGAGACCAAAGACTGGAGCTAAGACCTGAGACCAAAGACAAGAGAGCAAAGACCAGGGACAGGACCAGACTCCAGAGACCAAAGACCAGAGTCCAGACCAGAGACCATAGACCACAAACCAGTCCAGAGTTCCAGTCCAGAGTCCCAGTCCAGAGTCCCAGTCCAGTATCTGTGTGAAGTGTCTGAGGTCAGGAGTTCATTTCGCAGCACGGGCACCGTTTAAACAGCTTAAACTAATCCTCCTATTGGATTTGTTGAATCTGGAGTGTAGAACTTTTGCCAACGTAAATTAAAAAAAAGGAAGTGGACGTATTGGTCATTAACTTCTCTTTTAATTCTTCTTTAATGCGCTGTGCCTGATTTTGACTGTCTTAAAAACAGAACTAATTCATTTGAAAGAGTTGCAGTGGTCTAAATTTCTTCCTCACTTCTCTTCTGCGTTCAGACCTAATTAGTCACCATGATAAGTTTAAAAGAGCTTCCAGAGACCAGAGTGCAACATTTCTCTAACACTTTAATAGAGATCATTAACAGTCTGATCACCGGCCAATCCCTGAGTTCAGATGGACGTGATTGACAGGTGGATAAACCAATCAGAGACACACACAAAAAAAAGAAAGATAAAAACTAAAAGACATTAGATTTCCGTAGAAGTAATGAGCGAAGCACTAAACTAAACTAAAACACTGAAAGAAATGTGATGATATTCAAAATGATACGTGACCAATAAGCTCACTAGTTTCACACGTGTCACTGAAATAAACAAATCTGATCACGTTGCGTTCTGACTCGAGGCATGACAGAGGGAGTGGGGACCAGAGAGCGAATCATCAGAGAGATCAAAGTTGGCCCAGTCATACTTTCCTAAACTTATGTCTCTATATTTCTTGT